GGAGGGGGGGGGGGGGGGGGGGGGGGGGGGGGGAAGGGGGATTGCCATTTCTGTTTAGTTGCAAAGACTCAAAGCAATTTTAAATGATAATGAACTAAAGCGGCTGCATTTGCCATAAATAATAAGTCAGTCCTGGAAGGGGAGGCAGAAGAGGGAGGGGGAGGTGAGAGGGACTTTTGTGTACCTATTTCACAATGAATCGTAGTGATTTTTGGTGAATTTTGAGGAAAGCTGCCAAACGAGATGGCCCTAAGCTCTCAACTGCCGCTGACTAACTGGGCATTTTTTTTTCAGGCTTGGAATGCCTTCATGAATTGATAATGCCATTTTCAAGCTCACCATGGTGGGCCTGTAGCATTTGCTATGTTGCTGGCGCCAATTTGGATCGAATCGACGAGCATGTGCACTCGTTCGGACACAAAAGAATTTATATTGTATGTTTTTTCCGGAAGAATTTATATGGCTGGTCGCCAACAGTTTAGAGCTTTGAAGTTACAATTGAGCCTTGAACAGCACCAGCTACAAATCTTCTGATTTCTATTCGTAATCCAAAGATTTCAAATTCAGCCTTCACGCACCCTTAGGTCTCACGTATACACACGCCGGAATTTAAACTAGCATCGTAACAACTCCAGATTTGAGCTGACCAAGATGTTTTAGAGAACTGTAACGACAGCGTGTATGCTAGTAATTTTACGCAGTAGATGTTAAATAGCTGATTTTTGTCGTCTTCTAATTGTAAGCAGTAAGTTGACCATCTAGCAGCAATACAGCACCTGTCAAAAATGCCTGGAAAAATTGTCAGCTTCATAGCTTATCGTTACCTTGGTGCTAATAAATTGGTGAAGTTTCGTGAAAATCCGAAAGGAAGGTTTCATTGAGGATCCGAAGCTGTATTTTTATACTTTACACACTTTTCAACAAATTAATCCCAGGATAGATCTTTCGAAATAAGTGTTTTTTTTTTCACTCAGGATGAATTTCATCCGGATAAATTGGATCTCAGCAATATGGACAAAATAACAAGTATGGAGAAGTACCATTCAGTTGGATCGAAAATATTCGAAGAGCAGGGCAAATATGAAACACCGGAAGTATTGAAACTGGAAGGTGTAAACAAAAATTGGGTTTTGCAAAAACTTGGACTCGAGCCAAATGATGAGGCACCGAATTATACAGTTGGAAAAGTTTTTGGTGGACACGAAGCGCTGCACTGTAATGTAAGCTCTTTTTTTTGGCCAATCTATCAGCTTGAGTTCTTCGGAAACTTCAAAATAATGTTAGATAGCTATGGATGAGAATATGCATTTCATCAAAATTTTCCTCGAAATCTCTTTCATTAATTCTTGAAATGTATTCTTGATGATGTACTTACATCTAACAGTCACTTTGAGAAAAATCCCAACAAAATTTTTGCGAATAATGCGGTATTTTTCCTTTCATAAGTGTTGTAGAAATTTTAGAGATATAAATAATGAGAATATCTCCGGCTAGGAGCCACTGGAAGAGGACGAGGGCCTGAAATCGCGTCTATGCGTTAACATATGCAGTCTGCTTGGCACTGCTGTCCACCATCGTGGAGAGGAACACAGACAAATTTTGATAATTAATGAAAACACTGGAAGTAGTACCATTTAGATCTCCCATATAGGCAAGCCTGTATGCCTAGTGACTTGTTAGCTTGTCTTTGTTTCATCCCTGAGCTGTAAGGAAGAGACTCTTGATTTACCTTTCCAACTTGTTCCTCTTATATATAACGGTCAAGTAAATTCTTCGATCGCGCTGACAGCCTTCCCTGTCTTAGTATTACTGGGTAGGTGTCAGGCAACTTTTCGTATTGCCTGCTTTGTCTTTCATTCTTGCCACATG